AGGGAAAGCTAGGCTGAATTAATAGGTGGAAAGAGGTGCTAGTAGGTCAGAGAGGAGAGCTATGGGGGCTATTAGGTGGGGAAAAAATGTTAGCTAGATTTAATAGATAGGAAGAGTTGATAGGTGGTTAAAAATATGAATAACTAGTTAGGTGTAGCCCAGTGAAAGGAGAAAAGTAGGCCTATTAGATGTATAGTGATTGCTATTGGTGTAGGAAGAAAGCTAGTTAGTGGGCGAAATAGGGTGCTAGTGGATGAAAAGGGAAGCTCAGTGGGTGGAGAAAGAGAGGGAAAGTAGTGTTAATAATAGACGTGACAGTGATGATAATAGAAGGAAAGGAGCTAGTTGTAGGAGGAAAGAAGTAACAGCTATAAAAAGTCAACTTCCATGGCAGCGAGGGAAGAGAGGGATGGGAGAGTTAATAGTTAAATAGTTAAATAAATAGTTAAAAATATCGGGAACGAGGGCTAGTAGATGTATATTGGGGGAAATTAACTAGCAGGGGGCGAAGAGAGCTAGCTGGATGGGGGGAAGGGTGCTAGTGGGCGAGAGAAGAACTAGCGGTGGGACGGGAAGTGAGAACGGAAGTGATCCGTCATTCTACTCGCTGGCAACACTGACCAGCTCATGACCAAATGGCAACAGTGCTATCCTCACTTGCAAGCTTAGCCGGTAAATCAATGTCATTTATCGAATCAACAACAAACAAAGCCGAAAGAACTGTCACTCACCGGGGAAAAAACGTTGGCAACACTTCACTTTTAGAAACAGCTAATAAAGAATCACTTAAAACAATTAACAATTACTGTCACTCGGTCGTGAAAAACTGGCAACGCTGCCACTCAGGGAAACCGTGGCAGCAATTCTATAAACAAACAAACAACAATTTTATCGCTTTAGTCTAACAGAGAATTTAAAATATCATTGCTTTCCCACATGCACGTTTACTTAGTGACATAAATAAACTCCTCATGGTTGCTCTTAAATGTTTATAATACTGATATTCTCATGATCTTTATCCTTGCCTATCCCAGTGCGTGAGACATCCAAGAGGTGTTTAAATGACCTGCATCATGTAATAGTGCCGAGCAATGGCATACTTTTAGCGTTGCTTCTTGCAGGCTTTTACATGTGCTGTGTTATTTATTTTGAAAACCAAGAAAGAGTTGTGTATGCTAGTGTTGATTTTCTTTGTGCCCCTGTATTGATCATTCAAATACATTTACTTTCGTAATACTGATGTAGAAATACGGTGATAGTGATATAAAAACGATCGTAATGACAAAAAAATGGTGTCTCGATTTTTCTCAGTAACGACATAGCGTCCTTGAGGCAGCGACACCATTGTTTTGGCAACACGGTGATGGTGGAGTTCTGGTAACAGTTACCCTCCAGTGATATACGTTGGCGGATACGTTCATTGACAAATCCCTGAACTGGATATCACCTTAAAATTATGAGAGTCTGAAAGGAAAAAACAAAGCACCATTCGTTTTTTTTTTAATCTTTTGAACACTAAATGAATAATGATGAGGCAACGTCGCCGTGATATTTTGCCGTTTGATTACATATTGGATAATGACTGAACTGAGCCCATGAGACCGTTATTTCTATTTATATCTGCCTACCCGTTTGTTTGTTGAGTTACTCCTCCATCTGCATTTTGCTAGAATTGCGTTTAGACTTCTCGGTTCCCTCATCTTTAAAAAATGCACCCAGCTCCGAGAATTCGCCAAACGCCATTACTTCACGAGGCGCAATTTTCACTTTTTTCTCCCTTGCCTCATTTCCACCATTCCTCCAAGTCACGGGGATATTGATTTTCGAATGAAAACACATCCCTCTCCCAGATTAAGGTTAAACCATTACCATTTATTTTCTTAGAACGTAATTACACAGCTCCTCTAAAATAAAAAAAAAGTAGAAAAAAGCATTACGGCAAAACCAACTAGAAAGGAATTCCTTCGTACTAACTTCTTTTACCCAAAAGCGAGAGAAAGATTGATCAGTTGTGGTCCATCAGGCGTGGTCGGGTTGTGTACCGTCACGTTGGTATTGATTGTAGACCCCTGTAGGTACCTCGAGGCCCTCGGGTTGGCTGACTCCCTCCCTGGTGTTATTCGCATTAAAGGTCGCTGAGATCGATCTTTAAACCGACCGTTTCCTGTTATCTTTAGCAAAGGCGATGGATCGATGCGCGTGGTCGGAATATGAAAAAAAAAACACGAAATTATTACGAAATTAGTGAGGTTTATGCGTGAAGGAGAACAATGGGTTATTCTTGCAAACAACGAACCTTTAAATTTAGAATATAATTTATGAAGATTTTTAGAAGACGAAACCGCTTGACCCTAATCATCAAAAATGTAAACAAAGAGCTGTCCTTGATGGCTGCCAGTTCGACTCCACGTGTGAGGGAAAACCCCGCAAAGCCGCAAATTGGCAAGGGTATTGGTATCGGGAAGCGTGAGATATTAAGCGTGGTATCCCAGTGTGACGTCATAAGTATGGTCTGGCGTGATGCTGCTAAAGGAAGGCAGGGCGTGGCGGGACAACTGGCCGCTCGCATGTCGCCGTGGAGGGGGAGCGTGCCGGCGCATTTTTAAAGTGGGGGGGGGGGAGCGTAATGAGATGCTTTGTTTTTTTTGGGGGGTGGAAATTACAGCACGGTAGGTGTTGGACACTCGTACACGCCCACTCACACTCGCATTCTCATACTCACG